TATTTTTTTTTCTTTTTGGGCGATTTCAAAGGCTAAATTGGTAATATTTTTTTGTAGAGAATTTTTAACTTTCTTTTGCACGCAACTGGTAATAATTTAACTGCTGGGCAAGTAAGAAGAAGTAATGGTAGGGGCATAGGTCAAGGTGATGTCTCTAAGTTAAAAATTGTTTGTAAAGATGCAGTGGAAGCAAATGATTTAGTTAATTTATTGCACTTAAAATTCTACTTAAAAGGTGCAAAAGAAGATGGCACTGCTAATCCCTCTACTACTGAATGACGTTTTTGGATAGAAGAGGTTGATTACAAGGAATCCGAAACTTATGGTGCTAACAAAGTAAATTCTTATTTAGTAATAACTACTGCTAATAATGTTAATACTCTCTGATTAACTACTGGTTCTTCGGATGCCACTAACGGTAATTCTTTTGGTGGTTTAAAAAATGTAAAAATTAGTAATATTCCGAAGTTTACTGCTAATACTGCCCCGCAGGTGGTCGCGAAGGAAGGATACCAAAGATATCTCACTGAATTAGAAAAATTACAAGGCATTAAAGATAAAATGCTTGTCCATTATACAAATACTGATAATCCTTTGGATATTTCGCAATTAGATTATTTGAAAGAATTTCAAGCACAGAATGTGACAAATATTAAAACAACTATTTATCAAGTAGCGGGAGTTAGACAAAATGTTAATTCATTAGTGGGGTTTTTAAGTGAGATGAGAATTTGAAAAGAAATTGTGGGATTAAATAAAGTGGGCGAGGTTTTGGCCGCGAATGCTAATGGTTTTTATGTAAGTGATCGGGGTAGTCAAAATATAACTGATCTTATTGCTACTGATTTAGATTTTGACACTCAGAATGATACTTCTGCTAATGCTCCAAATGGTGTCACCAAAAAACTTTTCCCGACGGCTAACGGAGAATATCAAGGCTTTAAAATTGTTGATGGCACGGAAGTAAAACAAAGTGCTAATAATGGTGACGTTGATGCTACCCATATTCTTGGTAATTATTATGATCGTTCTACTAAGGGACTTACCAAAACTAACTGGAACCGAGCAGGAAAGTGATATATCCCGCATAAAAATGGCTTGCTTAACTCATTATCAAAAATATTC